GGGGACTCGCTCACCTCTGCTGGGACCTCCTTTCCTTTTGTGCCCTTTGATTTTTCACTTCCTTATTAACTGATCAAAGCACCTCCCTCCCCAGAGGGAGGCCCCCTCTCCAGCTTGGGCTGGGTCCTCTGGTCTTCTCCTGGACACGCACCCTCTGGACCCGTACCTCTGACCACAGGGCTGTTTGGGCAGCGCTTCTCCCGGCGGGAACGTGTGTCCCCATCGTAGCTGATGGACACGTAGGTTGTCTTCTGCTCTGACAGACAGTGTGGCCCTGGCACCCCTCCCACCCCTTCCTGGCGTGTGCCTGTGGGGAACAGCTTGCCCCGCACACCCACCCCCCGGGGTGCCAAGCTACTGAGCTGCCTTATTTAGAGACAGGGTCGCACTGAGTTACTTAGGGCCTCGCTTTTGCTGAGACTGGCTTTGAACTCAAGATCCTCCTGCCTCGGCCTCCTGAGCTGCTGGGATCACGGGCGTGCACCACTGCGCTCAGCTAGGGGCCGGGTTTTTATCAGTGCCTCCCTAGCACCGAGCACAGTGCCCGGCACAGGTCAGGAGCTCAGTAAAAATACATTCACTGAAGCCAGGCGCAGTGGCGCACACCTGTGATCCCTGCGGCTGGGGAGACTGAGACAGGAGACTCGCAAGTCCAAAGCCAGCCTCAGCAACATCGAGATTCTAAGCAACTCAGTGAGACCCTGTCTCTAAGTAAAACACAAAATAGGGCAGGGGGGTGGCTCAGTGGTCGAGTGCCCCTGGGTTCCATCCCTGGCACAGAAAAGCAAAAACAAAAACAAACAAAACCCTTTGTTCAGGCCCTTTTGTTCTTCACAAAGCACCTAAGGCTCAGAGAGGTCAAGGGTGGCCTAGGTCACCCAGCAAGGGAATGTGGAGCTGAGGATGGAATCTGAGTCTGAGCGGCTGCAGGCTGAGGTGCTTTTCCTCCTGCATGAGACCCCGATGGCATCTCAACCCCGGTCCACTCTCCCTTTTCCTGACTGTTGCCCCCTGCTCCACCCAACCCAGGGCGCAGGGTCCCCTGAGTGGCCACTCGGCAGGCCAGGCTGCACGGCACCATTTCCCAACCTCACTTCACCCCGTGCCTCCCCTCATCGAGGCCGTTGGCCTGAGAGTCAGGTAGGGCACTTTCAGAATCCCGGCGCCTCCCGGGCCAAGCAGGAATGTGGTTCCACTCTCCTGCTGCTGGGGTCTGGGAGCGCGTCCGGGGGAGGGGTTCCGACGTAGGTAGGGGGCGTGCGCATGCAGTTGGGGTCCCCTGTGCCCGCCGCGGGGCTGGGTGGGTTTGGATAGCCACTTGACCGGGTCTGCACGTTGGCGCCTCCTGTGTGCGTGTGGTTTCAGGTAAGGGGGGGAGAGGGATGGAGCCTGGACCACACACATGACCCCCCTGGCTTCCCTGTGCAGTGCCTTCAGTGACCACACCTACAAGGACACGGCTCAGGGGGCGAGGACACCCCTTGGCAGGTTTTCGCTCCTGAGGTCCCTGCATGACCTCTTCCCTGCTTGGTGCGTCCATCTGGGGCCCTGAAGCATACGCGGCCCCTTGGTCAGTGAATCAAGTCCTGGCTCGGAGGTGCTTGTCCAGGGGGCGGGCTTTAACTGGTGTCACAGAGAAGTCACCACAGTAACGCGTTCCTGCAGGGTTGGCGGGTCCTAGCGGTCCCCACCGCAGCGGTCCTCCCCTGGCTGCGGCCGGCCCATCTCCTCTTCCGTGTGGTCCCTCCAGTGTCCCCCTCCAGCCTGCCTGCGCATCCTCTGCCCCACCGCCTACTCCCCTGGTCTGTCATTGGCCACCTCGCCAGCCGTTGCCAAGCTGACCAGCCCAGCGACTCACCTCCCAGCGCCCAGCCAGCATCTAACTCTACGTCCAGCAGCTGTGCCCACCCGACTCCTCCAAGCCGCCAGCCCAGGGGTCTAACCAGCGCGTCACCTCAGCTAGTTCACCCGTCCGTCCACTCACATGCACACACGGTCCTGTCCTTCAGCCTGTCCCTTGATGACCCCCCCCCATCTCCCAGCCGGCTTCTCGTGGTTTATCCGCGCCCTCGTCCCCCCAGCCTTGCGCCGGCTCACCCTCCTGCCTGGCTGATCTCTGTGCACCATCCTGAGCACCCTCCGGTGTCTTCAGAGGACCAGTCCACCCGTGCGTCCTGCGCTCGGCAGCCGGCCCCGTGGCTTCTCTCTTCTCCCCCTTGCTGTGGCTCCTGTGCCCTGGCTGGGAGGCCGCAGTCCCCACCTCACCCCTGGAGGTCCAGCGGGGCTGCCCCGTCACCTCTGGGCTCCGGGCCTCCCCCTGAGCTCCGCCTCTGTCCCCCACTTGGGGCCCCTGCGGACCCCCTTGCTCAGGCTCACCTTCCCTTTCAAGCCCTTTCTCTCCCTGGGGCAGTGTCCACAGTGAGGGCCACCTGGGGGCTGGGGCAGCGCACAGTGTTCGTGGTGCCCCGTGGCGGCGGGGGCTGGGCTCTGGGCACAGGTGTGGCAGGGTGGCTGCAGTGGCACTGGCCACAGGTGTGGCTTTGGGGCTGGCACGGGGTGGGCTGTGCCTCTGGGTGTCCCTGGGGGCCACACTGGCAGGACAGAGGCCTCCTCCTCCTCCTCCTCTGCCAGCAGGCCCTGCTGTCAGAGTCCCCGCAGCCCACAGCTGGGCTGATGATGGTGGCCACAGAGGGTCAGAGGTGGGGCCCACCAGGACGCAGCCCTGCCCTGCGCCTCGCCCCCTCGTGGGTTCCCTCTGTCCTTAAGAGTGACCCTGGGGGACACTGAGCAGCATCTGCACCCGGCTGTGATCCTTGGTCCTCTGCAGCTCTGGACGCTCAGTTTCCCGTCCTTGCAGACTGGGGATGACGACTGCCACATGTCACAGGGACATGGGAAGAATTAACGGAGGGAGTTGAGGTCCGGCAGTTGGCTCAGGGCCAGGCGTGGTGGCAGGGCCCGCGAGCACGGAGCAGCGCCACCAGGCCCTTTCCTCACCCTGCGGGGCGGCTGGTGCCAGGAGGGCAGCTCTGGCCCAGGGGTGGGTAGCGGGGGTGGCCAGCCTGGTGACGAGTGGGTGGTGGACAGTGGAAGTCACTTGGTGGCCTGGCGGGTGGTCTGGGGCTGCCCGGCGAGCCCCCTCCCCGTCAGAGCTGAGACCTGGAGTTGAGACCCCTGGGCCGGTGGCTCAGAGGAGTCAGGGGGCACAGCTGCTGGACGTACAGTTAGGTGTTGGCTGGACGCTGGAGGGTGACACTCGGGCCCCAGCGTGCACTAGGCCCCTTGGGGAGGTCATCATGGTGCTGGGGACGTGACAAAGGGGCTTTTTCTGGTGTCCGCCTCCTGATGGCCCTGCAGCAGGGTGGCCTCAGGCTGTCCTCGCTCACACACTCCAGGGCCCAGCGTGACCGGCCCAGGTCTCGGGCAGCCCTCCCCAGCAGGGCCCGGCCCAGGTGCACCTGGCACCTCGGCTGCCCACACCCAACTCGGTCCCCTCCGTAGAGCAGCTGCCCTCGGAGCTGTTAGCAGGTGGACTTCTTAGTGTCCAGTGGCTTCTCAAGAACCGCCGTGTCCACGGACCCTTCCTGCCCTCAGGGCCTGGACCTCCCTGTCCAGGCCACGTTGCCCTCGAGCAGCACAGGGACCCTGCGTAGTGGGCTGAATGGGGGCCCCCAGAATCTATGTCCCCATCCAGCCCCCGGAACCTGACAATGGGACTCAGTTGGAAAAGGGTCTCTCTAGGGGAGAGCAGGCGGACTGTCGGGGGCTCCTCTCGGGGGTGCTGGCCGCCCTGGGAAGGCCTCCTGGGTCTCGGCCCCCCCACGGCCCCCGGCTCCTCGCTGCCGACTCCCCGCCCCCGTGGAGAGGGCCAGCACTGTCAGGGACGCCCCTCCTTCCAGGGCCCCTCCACCCTTCCCCGTAGCTCCGCAGACCTCAGGCTGTGAGCCACCCCTGCCCCCCGAGCTGCCCCTCAGGATGGAGCCTGCATTTCATTGTCAGGGCCCCTGGTGACTGGCCCTGGTGACTCCCCGGGGCCTGCGGGTGGACTCTTGGGGCCTGAGCAACAGGACAAACCTGCTCAGAGGCCTGTGGCGGGGGGCTGCCGGCCTCTGCCGTCTGCAGGTCATAGGTGGCCTTGCCTGCCCCCAACGTGGCCCCAGAGACCCCAGGCCTTCCCTGGAAACGCCGTCTCCCCAGCCCGTCCCCTGACCAGGGCCCTCGAGGCCAGGTGGCTGATGCCCAGGGACGGCAGAGCAGATGGCAGTTGGCACTTCTGGATGGGGGGGGGCAGGGGCAGGGGGCAGCAGACCTCAGGCTTGGCCCCGAGCTCCCTGTGCCTGGCAGCCCCTCTCCGGGGGGTTAGGCAGGAGTGAGGCTCCGCCGGGGCACAGACGGTCCCCACAGCGGGGCGGAGGGGAGCCAGACACTCCCGTGAGGCAGAGGGGGCCCCCAGGGGCCCGGTGGCAATATCTGCCTCAGTTAAACACGAGTCCACGACAGGCCCAGGCCCCCCTGTGTGGCTCGCGCTCTTAGCCTCACCCGAAGCAGACAGGGGCAGGCTGGGGTTCAGAGACACACAGTGACCTGTGCGGGGTCACACAGCAGAAAAGAAACTGGAACCCACATGCTGGGCTCCCAAGCCAGGGCTCCTGAAGACCACACTGTCCAGGCTCAGAATGGCCAACGGGGTCCCACCGAGGGAGACGTTGATTCCCTGGGGCTGACACCCAAGTATGTGGAAGAGGCCCCTGCCCAGAGGTGGAAGCTGAGATGGCTTCCTAGCCCAGGCGCCCACTTTCCACCCACTGGGCAGGAGCTGGCCTCCCTCGGGGCCAGAGCAGAGCCCTGGGGGGAAGCAGGGGGACACCCGAGAAGGGAGTTCCTTGGAGACATTTTATTGACTCTTCTCTGGAGGTTCTCGCTGGGCCGGCGGCGGGCACCCCTCCTGGACATCTGGCGGTGAGGAGTGCGGCGGCGGACACCTTCCTGGGCCTCTGGCGTCACACGTGCGTCTGCTTGGCCTCGGGGCTCTGCGGGGCCCCCGGGTTGTCCTCGGTGCTCCCCTCCTGCCTCTCGGGCTCCATCAGCAGCAGCTTGCCCTGCCCAGGTAGCGGCTCCTCCTCCTCCTCCTCCTCCTCCTCCTCCTCCTCCTCCTCCTCCTCCTCCTCCTCCTCCTCCTCCTCCTCCTCCCCCTCTGATGGCAGGGAGAAGTTATCCTGACTCATGCAGGCCACAAGCTTCTTCATGGACGACTCGTGGCCCCGGCTGTGGCCCGTGCCCTGGCCGGTGCCATGGCCCGTGCTGAGCTTGGCGCATCGGGAACCCATTGTCCACTCTGCCCGTCTCTCTGGACTAGGGAGGGAGGTGGCCGGGGGCGTGGAGGGGCTGTGAGGTGGACGGAGTGCTGACATCACAAAGGGGCCCTGGAGCCCACCCCACCCAGCACCCAAGGCTGAGCGGGCAGCTGGCCGGGGGAGGTCTGTCCAGTGCTGCCCGCCCTGGGGGCTGCCCGCCCCATCTGGCCTCATTGGCCTGGACACTTGCCCTCTTAGCTGAGCGCCGGGGCTGCCCGAGAGCCGGCGATAGTGTGCAGACAGGGTCAGGAGAGAGGCTGCCCCTCGGGGCTGGCAGTGGGTGGGCTTCCTGACCTGCTAACGTGGCAGTGACTCACTGTGTACCTCAAGTCCACCCCCACACTGCACCCCTTACAGGGCCGGGCTGTGGCTCCGTGGCAGGGCGCATCGGCAGGGTCCGGGGCGCGGTTCCCAGCTCACACAAAACCCCTCCTGACTGTTAAAGTGTGTCCTCCAACATCCCGAAAGGCAGCGCCCAAACTTTGTGGGGTCCCAGGTCTCGGTGGACACAGGAGAAGTGCCCGCTGGCAGTGCCACTCATGCCCAGGCCCCAGTATCTCACGCAGGGCGGGGTGGGAGGAGCCAGGACCACTGTGGAGGGGTCTTGCTAGGTCTGGTGCCGTGCACCTGTGATGCCAGCTGTGAGGGAGGCTGAGGCAGGAGGACCTCTAGGTCAAGGCCAGCCTGGGCTACTGGCCGTGTAGGAAGAGGCCCTGGATTTCATCCCCAGCACTGACTTGTCATAATGACCCTCTGAGATGTCCACCTCAATCAGAGCCAGTGACAGCTGTGTCACTTATCTAGGTGGGCTAGTGTCCCTGTCAGAAGGTGGCAGATTTCAGACACGTGGAGTGACGGGCAGATGGGTCCCCCAGAACCGCAGCCCTGGCCCAGCCCTGCTGCGGCTCTACCTCGTCCTTGCTGGAGCACACCCGACCTGCCTCCCACCTCGGGCTCTTGCAGCCCACTGCTGCTCACGTCACCCGGCCACCCCGTGTCTGGACCGTGCTACACAGTGGCCCTTTAGTCAGGTTGACTTCCTGGCTTCAAAGACCCCTAGGGGAGGGCGGTGCCCCAGGGCATCACCCAGACCCCCTGGGCCCTCCTGGAGGAAGGGCCGTGACCAGCCCGCCCGGGCGGGCTTCCCTGATCCGCAAAGGAGACCGGCAGCCGGGGTTCGCATCAGTCTTTATTCGGCAGGTGACTGCTCGTGGGCTCCTGGGCAGCTCGGGGCTCGGGCAGGCGGCACAGGAGGGGTGTCAGGGCCTCGCGTTCCTTGGGCAGGTGACTCGGCTTCCACAGGGCTTCCAGGAAGGCCACTACTGCCTCCGGCACCTCCTCTTCCTCCTGATTCTTCTGCAGACTTTGGGGAAGAAAAGGCGTTCCTGGCCCCCGGTGGGCTCTTCCCTCCCGGCCTCCCGCCCCGCGCGGCGTCCTGGCGCCCGTGGGTGCCCGTGGGTGCCGGCCTGGGTCAGCGGGGTGGGCACGCACCTCGGTAGCAGCGGCAGCACCGCCGCCTGTGTCCGCACGTGCAGCGCCTGCGGTGCCTCTGGCGGGACTCGCGGCACCCGTGGATCCGGGGCAGCCTCCGCCGGGAGCCGGGCCTGCGCCTGCACTGGCAGCTCCTCTGTGTCCTCCCGAAGACCTCGGCGGCCTCCTGGGTCAGCCCCTGCTCCCCGTCCTGCTCCTGGTCCTGGTGCTCACATCCCGGGTCCTGCCTGGGCCCCTGCTGCAGACGCTCACCGGGGTTCCTCACGCGGCATCGGACCATGGCGTCTGCGGCTCAGGGGCAGGCCGGGGCAACTGGGCTGAGGCTGCGGCTGGCCGTGGCCGGAGGAGGGCTCAGGCCCGCCTGCTCTTGGTGTTGCTGTTGGTCTGCTCGGTGGGGCTCTCGGGGCCCGTATATAAAGGGGGCCCCACTATGACCTGGCGGCCCTGCCCAGCCCCCTCTGTGAGGGCGCCTCAGGGCAGGGCCCACGGCCCGGCACACCGGGTGGGATCGGGCCAGGTGGCCTCTTGCCTGGCCTGTAACGTGTGTCCCCTGGAGCCAGAGGACCCTCAGATCCCGAGAGAGCCACGCCTTTTCTGTCCCCGTCAAGCCTCAACCTGTCAGGGTTCGTCCAGAGGCTGCCCACTCCTCAGTGTCCTGCTGCTATCTCAGGCTTGAGGTGGCCACTGTTTGCATGACATGACTGCATAATGGCCGCATGCCCAGAGGTGACCGCTACTCCCCAGCCTCCCTCCCTTGATCTCCATGAGACCCGCCCCCACTGTTTCCTTTTCCCTCTCCAACCTGCACATGGTGACCCTGGACCTTCCACACAGTGACCCTGGACCTGAGTTTGGCTCATGGACCTGGTGGTCTCACGTTCCATCCATTCACCGGCAGGGGACATGGCTTCGACATTCTTTATGGCTGAATAAAACTCCACTGTGTACCCAGACCATCTTTGTCCACTGATGGACACCCGGGCTGGTGCCACACTTGGCTGTCGTGAATTCTGCTGCTGTGAACATGGAAATGCGAGTGTCACTGCCGAATGCTGACGTTGACTCTTCGGCGTCAATACGGAGGACGGGCTCAGCTGGGTTTCCGAGGGCCCTCCATACTGATTTCCGTAGCAGACGTACTGATTTACACTCCCACCAGCCGTGCAAACGTTCACACATTTATTTGTATTTCTTTTGAAAAGCGTTTCATTTGCCCGTTTATTAATTGGGTCACTTGCAATCACAGGAGCACCTACAGACATCCTTGCCCTCCTCGGGCGCGCTTTTTAACTTGCTGCCATCCCATTTGTTGCTCTAAGGATCCCGCTGACCAAGTCACTGGCCGCGTCTGAAGCTGGAGTGATGCCCACGTGTTCTCCTAGGAGTCAGGGAGGTCTCTGGTGCAGGTGGAGTCGGCTCCTGTGCGGGGCGGGAGATGGAGGGTCCAGTCTCCTCCTTCTCCGTGGCGATACCCAGTTTTCCCGTTAATCTTAACGTGGTCCTGTGGAGGCCCAGGGTGCGGCTTGCTCAGCACTAACCAGCTCTAGTTCAGTGTCCAGCACCAAACTAAAACCCCTAGCCCTGTCTGTATGAATGCGGCCCCTCGTGGCCTTTGGGTACGTGACGGGTTTGTGTCACGTGTGTCTCGTGTGATCCCAGCCACGTTAATGGAATCCTAGCAGCTGAGCAGCTGTTTGCCGCTCGTGGAGGGCGGGCGGGGGGTGGGCAGGAGGATGGGGCGCACAGCACCAAGCCCTCCCCACAGACCCCAGTCCTGGGCCCCGACTGAGCGTGCCGTCTCACATGGCAAAAGGGACTTTGCACACGTGGTGATAGCCAGGATCTCGGGGTGGGGACGTTCTCCTGGATCACCTGGGTGGGCCCAGTGCCATCTCAGAGGGGCCTCGGGGAGGCAGGGAGGGCAGGGAGGGTCGCAGAGCATGGGCCACGGCTGAGGGAGGCCGTGAGCCAGGAGCGCAGGCGGCCGCTGGCCCCTGGGAAAGGCAAGGAGAGGGCTCTTCCCCAAACCTCCTGCCGGCTCCATGCCGTGAGCCCGAAGACCTGTCTTAAAGGACCCGTTTTGGACTTTTCTACTCATGTAGCTGCCAGGACTGGACTGGACTCGACTGCCCTACCACTGAGCTTCGTCCTCAGGCCGTCAGTCTCTTTTGTGACAGGGTCCTGCTAGGTCGCCCAGGCTGGCTTTGACCTCGCCGTCCTCCTGCCTCAGCCTCCCAAGTAGCTGGGACCAGAGCGACTGGCCCGGCTCTGTTTTCCCCTCAGACCTGCAGGACTAAGATAATGGGCCTGTCTTCTTCTACGCCGTGGACTTTGTGGTCATCTGTCAGCAGCAGTGACGAGAGGGACGGAGGGCTCCACGGGGCAGCCCTGGCCAGGGGCAGGGCCGTCCCCTCAGCCTCCCCTGGGGCCCTGGTAAAACCACGAGGGACCAGAGCTTACCCCAGGTGCCGCTCGCTGGGCATCTCCAGAGTTAGAGCTTGAGGATCAAAATGGAAGTCAACCTGCCACCCTCCCGGGACATGGCCGGGTCACCGGAGCAGCCCCGCGCGTCTTCAGAAGCAGCCTGGCTGCCGCTGCCGCGCGGGGTCAGTCGAGGACCAGGAGCTGGGCACTCGGCGGGCACACAGAGGGCTCACCTGCCGGGAGCCAGGCAGGCCCGTCAGGGGACTGGTCTTGAGTTCTGGTGGCTGATGAGGTGCCCTGGGCTTTGCACTGGTGCCACGGGAGGACGACCCTGGGCGCGTCGAGGGGTCGGAGGGCTGGGCTTTCCCGGCCTGTGACGGAGCCTGTCGGACCAAGTCCCAGTCCGGTCGCTCTTGGGTCAGGTTTCCAGACCCTGCGGCCATCTCCACGTCTCACTCGCTGTGGGAACTCGGGGGTAGGCAGTGTCCCGAGGGAGTGTGGCCCAGGCAGCGCAGTGGGCAAGTGCCCTGTCCTTGGCCGTGACGGTGTACCCGTGTGGCGCCATTGAGGACCAGATGGAGTCCAGCCTGCTATCCTTATACTCACCTGGAGGGCTTCTGACAGGTGACCGACTTGTGACTCACCTCTGGGCTGAAATGGACCCAGGTGGCACTTTGTGAGGTCACGGGCTTCTCTTGTGGGTGGTGCTGGTCCCCAAGCCCAGGGCCTGGCGTGCGCTGGGCAAGCGCTGTGACAGGGCCCTCCCCCCACCGTCCCCCACACAGGGGTCACATCTTGAGCTCAAGCTGTCACTTGGACTGGCTCTGGGGTCCCGAGACACCCTCAGGGGTTGCCGAACCCCGTGGTACACATCCCGCTGGGGCCTGTTGCATGGCCCCGCCCACGCTGGGAGTCCGGGGGGCCGTCGGGGGCCGTCAGGGGCTCCATGACCTGGCCGCGGAGCTCCCCCGAGTTGGCCGTCGAGGTGGTCCGGGAGGCGGATGGCACCGGGAGACGCCCTCCCGCCCCCACCCCCGCCCACCCCAGCTCCCGAGGCC